ACATATCTACTATCAGGAATGTTTGTATATATGTACAAAACATACAAGGGTGTAATAGAAGAGAGCTCAAGGCCGATGCTAGGGTCGAATTTGAGCAATGGTTATGAGTAAAGGAGGATAAAAAAAACCATTAAATTGTTTTGCCCTCACTGATTACATACCTATTGGCAACCGATGCCTCCCCCCACCCAAGCTACGGCCATAGAAGAGTTCGAGGAGAAAAAAAATTACGGCTTTTCCAATGTTAATTTGCTATTTCTTTTTTCAGGCTCTCCTTGGTAGCATGCAAAAGAGGGACATCATTTAAGCAATTTAACAGCCAAACTAAAGATTTTCGAGTAGTTTAAAAATACTCATCCATCATAAAGTGTTTTTAATATATAACATTCAATGTTAAGAATTGGAAACAAATTGCTTTGTTTTATTTTTTAACTTAACTGCCTTCGGAGATGTATGAATTAGTGGCAGTTTTTAAAAATTATACTTTATTATTCCATATTATCTTTCCAAATGAATTTGTTGTTGATTTTTGTAATTGTGAAAATATTTTAAGTATAACATTTATTTCTAAATTGACATTTACCAAGCACAATTAACCAACAAAATTTTATTTTCTAATTTATTAAAGATAAATAATTTAGTGTATGAACGAACTAACTAGTCTCATTATTAATTTAATTTAGAGTAGAAATAACGTGTGTGCCTAATATTACTTCAATATTATAAAGATGCCTCGTATGTTGCATTCAATTTGGTTTTTAAAGAAAATAAAAAATATTTAAAAGCAAAATCGCCGAGATATTTGTCAATTATTAATTTTTATGTATGAAGTTTTAACTGCAACGAATATAATTGTATATATCTATACCCTCAATGGGTTTTATATGAGATCTGAAAACTAGGAAAACTTCTATAGTATGATACGGTAGTTAATATTAATTGCCAATTAGTATGGTCTGGAATATTCTGGAATAGTCAGCGTTTTGAATATAGAATTCAACCATAGACATGATATAATATTTTTATCTATAAATTTCAAACAACGATTTATCACGCACTAGATGGCTGCATAAATACACATTGTTTTAAATTAGATGTAAGTTTGATATAACGCTATAAAAGTGGTTCAAAGCCGCAAATAGTATGCCTTAACAGTGATTTAGTTAACTAAATTTTTATTTTATTTAATTCATAATATCCAGTATATTTTAAGATAATTTAACACGAAATTTTGTAATAATTATTTGTTGTAAAATGTATTTATTGGTTATAATAAATAAATAAATCACAAAAGTTTTTTTAATCTTTTATTTCTCTACCCAAATTTTAATAGTAGAATTTAAACCTACATTATTTTTTTTATGAATAAATAATATAAGTCCATCAGAGAAAAATAAAAATATATGACATGATATTTCATAGTTTACATTTAAAGTAGTTTCATCTTACAACGAAAATACAACTAAAATAAATTGCCATTTGATCAATTGTACTGCTATTCAGGTCGAACTATTATTTATCTATGACTATATTCAACAACTACACATAACGAAATATCGTACCAGCCATAGACATTTCGTTTACATATTCGATACAATTCAATTAGAAACTCGGGCGTTTATTGGCGCATCGTAAGGGTCAGTCGTCAGAGCGGCCGAAGCGAAGATGTCCGTAGTCATCGAATGAATCGTCAGCACGAGGTGCGCGCCGCATGCCGTACTCGCGGTACAGCCGGCGCGCGCGGTACTCATCATCATCAGCCAGCCGCGAGCCTATCATCGCACCCTCGCACCAGTGGACCGATGCCGCTAATGCCACCACCAGCGCCAGTCCGATTAGAGTCACCAGTCGCATTGTGGAAATTATCAGATACCTGTAAAGTCAGACTGATTAAAATCTTCATTTAGCTTACTTTATTACACAAAAATTTAGATAAAAACTCTTGTCGGAGTGCAGTTGCAAAAATTTTATAAATTGGAGGCAATCTTTGTAAACATTAAAAATTTAAAATTCCAAGACCGGAAAGCGTTCCAAAAAAAGTTACTTACTAAAGTCACTTTTTTTTGTATAATGAAGTATATAACAACGTGGATAAGGTTAAAACAAGACAAAATAGAAATTATAAATTATCTGAATATGAAACCAACAAGTGAAATATAAAATAAAATGGAATGATAAAAAAAAAAACAAAGTTTGGAAAATGCACAGCTAACACTTACCGCTTTGTTGAAGTGCTGGACATAGAAATGGCGAAGTAAAACAAAAGGCAAAGCCTTTATATAGTGTTCGCCCATCGAAAACATCACCCCCTTTTTTAATATTCCCCCCGCAGCTCGCGCTTATAAAAATGGCATGAAAATTGACGTGTTTCAATTATTTAAAACAGCCAACAACGTTGATTGATCTTGTTAGGAGGTTGGAAATTATTTTTATATTGACTTAGCTTTATTCTTCTTCATAGAAAGTTTCATAGACTTGTTATTACTGTACTTTAAGATTAAAAATACGTTTGTTTTATTTAACACGTGCCTTTTTTGAAATCTGTCAATGACATTGACATCTGTCAATTTTCCCGCCTTTTTTTTCGTAATAGGCAATGTAAGATTATAAATAAATCAAAAGTTACAAAATATTCTACATTTGAAACATCGTACATGATTTTTTTTGGCTTTACGACTATTGTTCCTTTGCCTTTAAGAAAAAAAAAATCATTTTCCCTCTATTTCATAAATCACATTTTGCCTTTGATAAAATATCTGCACAATTAAATTACGTTTTTAGTGAATTTCGAAAATGGAAAATGTTTCAGAGTTTGAATCTTTTGAATCAAATTTCATCGATGTGATAGGAGTCTTGCAATCCATGATCGTAAGTTTACCAATATTAAATTCCAGTTTGCTATGTCATACTGTTACAGATTAAAATCAAAACAATTAAACATATACAGACCACAAATATTTGTGTTTATTGTAGGTTCGGTATTTGAATTTTCTCCATCTTGGTGAAAGAAACATCTTTCCTTGGCCGTGTTGGGTATATTGTAGTTAATAAAATAAATAAACAGAGAAATTAACAGAATAAATGACACCAATACATTATTATTTCACACATGACGTGTATTCCTGTAGACGTTCTTATTAAACTTGGATAACATTCTTGTGAACTAAAAAGTCATCAGAGGCGCATCTCCGTGAAGCGGTGCGTGCGGAGGCGGTTCGCGCTGAGGCTGCGGAGACGGCGTGCGCGCAGGCCAGGCGCGATGCGGACGACAACCGCGCCCTCGCCGCCGCCACGGCCGCTGGCACCGCGCAAGCGTCTCATGCGCTCGCCGCCGCTCAGGATGAATTGACCACTATTAAATCTAAAATTGAATTATCGGTAGGCTTTTTAAATGTCTGACGTCCCACTCATCATCACATCATCTTCATTATCTGTAGAAGTATTTATTTTTTTTCCGTGATTGGAAAACTATAAAAGATAAGAATAAACATCACACAGCAGCTACAAGAAGATAATAAATAGGTGTTAGAGCTAGTAATATAAGTAGTTTAAAAACGGTTTGTGGCAATTTAAATAGGAACGTCAGCGTAGTCTTCTAGAGGAAAAGTGCTCTGACATGACCGAAAGGATGGGAGTTTTAGAAAAAGAATTAGAAGAGCTGCGGCCGATACAATCTGCTCATTCAGCGCTGCAGAAACAGTACGTAGAATTGGAAAGTCGCGTACGAATTGCTACTGAAGACGCTCGCAGGTAAATATGACTCATAATTGTATAACAAAAAAAGCATAAACAAATTAAATGAGAATATTTTCTTTCTTACGTAACTAACTAGAGTAAATTGTTATTAATTTTTAAAAATTAAACAATTTTATAACACAAATGTATGTTTTCTAATAGACCATTGTTAATTTTGATAATATTGACCAAACGAGTGAATCAGTTGCCTTGTATAGAGCAATTCGTCGATTATAACGCAACTATTTTCTTATCTTAAAATAAGTGCACTCATAATAAATGTAATGATTGAATGAACATGAGCCATTTATAGACAAATTCAACAAGTATATGAGTGTTATTTGAATGCAAGCAGCAACTTGCACATGGAGGTCACAACCTCCGTTATTTTTTACATTAATCATCCGTTATTGCAAAATATCCGACTTACGAATTGTATTTTTGAATAGTGATATTCGTATAAATTCGCAAGTATAGTTACTTATAACTTGTTATACTTACACAACTATAAATGTTATTTTGTTAAATATCTGCTAACAGAACATTGATATTCCATCGGCGCTACATTTATCAAAAGATGACCATCAGCACTATAGATTTTTGAGGATGTTCCCAGCATTTGTGATATTTTCAAAGCAAACTCAGGGTCTTAAGTTCTTAATGATTCTCTTAGTGATTTCTCGTACTACAATTACACTTGGGTGTATGGCTGTTAATCCATTTAGTTATTTGGATGTTAGTGAAGCAAGCCGGCTGGAGAGCGAGGTCCGTCGCGTGGAGCGCTGCGCTCGCGGCGGCGAGGAGGTGCGCTCGCGCGCGCGCCTTGCCGCCGCAGCGCACGCGCGCGAGCGACGCCTCGCCGCTGATGAGAAGCAGCATCTGACCGCAGAACTCCTGCGAGCCAACGGTATACACCTTAGAACTACGTATAACTGATCACAAACAGTGTCAAAGTTGTTCAAAACAAAAATCTTTTCTCTGTTAAGGATAAAATTACTAAATGAAAATTATTAACCAGCCCATAGATTTAAATAAATCGATGCAATATAGACGAGTTTACCAGTTTAGGATCTGATTTCGAAACCGTATGTTATATACGCAATAATATTGCAACAGTTTGAATAATTTAGATTTATGATGTTTGCTTGCAATAGCGGTGACGTAACGTACAAACTGGCACCGTTTCCGCCGTTCATACAAATATGGAAATGTATAGTATATTTTCTTCGTCTACTTTTTTTCTTCTCAATGAAACTTTTGCATTGGTTTTATTATGGGAAAGTTACCATTCACACGGATTGCAAAGTATACGCAATACATATTTAAAATTCTTACGAACACAAGTATTCATTTGAGTAATTCTATATCTGTCACGAGGAGCGATATTCTTATTTATATACTGTAGTTAATCATGTGGTAAAAAGAAAACTATGATAATGAAGTTAAAGAGTTGTGAATTAAAAAAAATTAAAAATAATTTTAGCTTTATCAAATACACTAAACGCCAAAAAATTTCCACATGAGAACTAGAAGAACACTTCTAGACGAAAAAGTACAATAATGTAGTTAATATCCTTCTTCGAGTACAGAGGCAAAGTACATCTACACAGTAGATACTGTGTTAAGTATTGACATGCAAATATAGCAAGTGTATGTCAACTGGTTGCCTTCTATTGTGTATTGTTGCACTGCAACTTGTCACAGTGACGTACCTGCTGGGCTAGATGTTCTGTCATACATATCTCTATCAAGATAAACGTGCCAGCATAAATCTGCATACAGTTACAACACACATCGATATATTATCTAGCTTTTGAATTGTAATATTAATAAATAATTCTTTTCAATAGTTAAATATGAAAATATTGGTTACTTTCAGCTGAAATCGCTCGACTTGGATCTATCGTGACGGAATTATCAGATTATAGCAACAATAAGTGTAATATAAAGCCTACAACCGAGTCGAATACATTGTCGGAGTTGAGAGCAGCACTGGAAGTGGAGCGAGCTGGCGCGGCGAAGACGGAGCGGGCGCTGGCCGCAGCACTCGCCGACAACCTCACACTAGCGACGCACCTGCACAAACAAGATAATATTGAACTCACGCAAACCTCGCCGAAAAAACAAGACGATGCCACCAATATATCACCGATCGACTTGTTTTTGGCTGAATAATTGTTTTTTTTTTGTATTAATGGTAATTAAAGATTTAATAAAATGAGACAGATTAACACTTTCAAAAAAATCGTAAAAAAATCTTCAATGCATGAAAAGCTATTGCATGTTTTACATTTTGTATGATCCTCGTCACAAACCTCGTTATATTTGATTTGCCATCTCTATCTACACTTGTAGCCTTATGCTTGAACATTTAAGTAAAAAGACAAAAGAAAACTTTGCTAAAATATAGAACCTCAAACATATGTTATAAGAACATAAGTTACCAAGTTCTCGTTAGACATATGATGTGTGGGAGAGCTCGGAGCTCGGCGCTATGACGCGAGATTTTTATTCCAAACAGGTTTCTCAAATCGCGACTTGTATGTACAAACATACCTACGAACCTTTTAGAGGTCGAAGTGACTTTGTATCAAATGTTGGCATACTAAACGTGAATAGAAGTGTAACATAAAATGTTCCTTACGAAGTAATATAGGCCATAGGGGACGTGTTCCGGCTGTCGGTCGATGCGTCGTCTTAAGTGAAAACAAGTTCCTAGGAATGCACTTGTACTTACAATCAAGTGTCATTAATGTATGTAAGTTATAGCTGGATATGAAACATGTTATTGTACAGATTTCGTATGAAAACTATAAAACAATACTTTTACCACACAATTATCTTGTTACTTAAACTATACTTAGTTCCATTTGACTTTGTAACAAGACTTGTATTAAGTACATATTTTTGTAAATGTAAACAAAAAATAAATGGAGTATTATAAGAAACCGTTTTTATTAACCTTAAAGAAATTTCATATCACGAAATTAACCACTGTAGACCTGCAATTAAAGAATCAACGTAATAGTTGTTAAGGGGTTACGCAAACTTGAGGAGCTTTGGTAGTTGTGACGTCGTGCGTAGGTTGTATTTCCTGCTGGTTGATGGCCGCAACGGCGAGGTGTATGTGTAGGTGCAGTTGGGGGGAGGGGGATTCGCAAGCCTTCGCGGCCCCCACCAGCCAGCCAGCAGCGCGTGCGCCGGCGCAGGGCCGTCAGTTTTACTGCACCTCGCGCCTTCATCGTGCGCCTCTATGTCGTGCACAAATGCACACGAAACGAAACCTCTCTGTGATATAGTGTTAAGTTTACTTTAAAAACTTAGAAAATTTAAGTGTGTTCATCAAGTATTTTTAAAATAGTGCTATGTTGTAAACAGTTTAACCTACTTCTGTGTGAATATACAAAGACCTCTCCAACACAATAACACTGTGGCGATAAATTTTAATACTTTCTACGTAAGTATCGCTTATGTTTATGCTTTAAGAGTCGCAAGTGCTTTTCTTAATATACATTCTGTGGTTTTGTGGTCAGTGTTTCTTAGAGAAAGTTAAATTCAAAAATCGTTTGCTATTCTTACCCTGCACCTTTCAGGTAGACTAACATGAAATATATATGTTTTTCTTAATGTTTGTTGTATAATGTGATTGGATGCGAGGCTGTAGTGTCGTCGCAAATGTAGTATTTATGTAGTGAGTCAGAGAGGCTGGACCTGCGCCCGCGCCTGCGCTGCGACACAAGGACGGTGAGCTAAGCACCCAGACACGGTAAACATGTGAATTCAATAGACACATTATTTGATAGCTCACCCACGACATCGTTTATATTATCTAACACGACGTTACGTTACCTTCGAGCGAGGAGTAAATTACTGTAATGTTAATAATGGTCACAACAATCTTCCTGTAGACAGAAAACATCGTAATGTTTTCAAGGCCCACATATCTAAATTTAACACTTTCTAAATTTTCATAATTAAATACAAAACAAATGACTGAAAAGCATCTGACTGAAGACAATTATTATAATAAGCAATTATAAAACGGAAATAAAACATTCCAAGCGTAGTCGTGAAAATTTACGGAAAATTTTGGAATTGCCCGTTAATTTCATGCTATTAAGTAATTTAGACAATTAATAATTAATCTTTGGCTAAGGATCAGATAATTTTCAATCTTTTAAAAAAGTAATAACTCAATTTTTTAACTAACCTATAGTGTTTTGAAGTACAATTTTCTTAGGAAGCAATGCATTTATGTTTTTTATAAGGCCGAGGAATATGAGAATACCCACTCGTATACCAATCTTATGTTTCGTGCTTTCAATATCCTTAAAACCGTCGAGCAGTAACCTATTTGAATGTACTTTTTGAGATTTCTTTAGAAATTCTGATAGGAATAATATCAGAATATTTTTTGAAACGTCAGACACGTTCGAATTTTGTGAAATATTAATATTCATAAAAACTTGTCATAAGTTTTTAGAATTCTAATGTAACAAGAAAATGTTTTGTTTTTTCCTGTCTAATAAACCAATATTGATTTTTAAAATATTTGTAGAGTTCTTGGTTATTTACTTATATGATACTATAATTAATTAGGTTTTAATTTTTTATTTGTAGAAACACGACATCATGTCTAACTTTAAGAGATACCCACATTTAAAGTTAGTTATTTTAATGTTTTTCAAAGTCGCTCCAACTTAAAGTGTAGCAGTAAGCACGTATTTCTAATTCATAGCATTATTTACAGTACAATGTCACAAACAATTACGGTGTACTGCTTCTTCTTCATCTTGACCACATCGGGCTTCGTAACATGGTAAGATTTATGTCTAATTTTTTGTCATAAATAACACATGAAACCTTTAAAGGCCGACTTTACTTGACTCATGTCTGTAAATATGAGTAAGGCGAGGCACAATGATTCATTACTATACATAATATGTGTAAATAGTATCTTTCTTGTATAAAAACATCGCTATCGACATTACCCATGTATGGCAAAGGAACGTACAATGTAGATAGAGAAGAACTGTTATATAACATAAATTGTTAACAAATATGCATAATCCATTGAAAGAATAATGAAATAGTAAACTTTACTTTAACCGTAGCCAACCCAAAACGGTTGCGGTAAATACGCTAATACTAAAAAACATACAGACGAATTGAGTACCTCCTTCTTTAGGGAAGTCGGTCAAAAAGTATTACCATCACATAACAAAAGGCAAAACAAAAGGACTACTTAATATATCCCCATCCTCAAAATTATAATTTATTTAATAATTTAAAGATCCTATTGTGCAAAGCCAATCTTAACAACTAAAGACTGCAGTTACGAGAAGCCTGGCTCAATCACTATTAGTTAAGCTTAATCTATTAACCTTCTGTTCAGTTTATCAGTGGTGGGTCCACGCGTGCTGAGGCCGCACATGTCGTACAAAGTGTCGATAGCGGGCAGCTCTCGTGCGCATAACCTGTACGTGGCGGTGGAGCGGGAAGGCGGCCCCTTCAGCCAGGGCCGAGAGGTGCAAGTACCAGCAGCTACGTCCAGGCTTGTAGAACTTGATGTAATTATCGACAATTTTTTCTCCTTGTAATCAGGCGTATAGTAAGGTAAATTATCACAAACGCATCGTACTTTAAACGCAATTTAAATAACATATGGCAACTCCATTTATACTTATTGCGTATTTATACATATGTAACTACTTTATATTCAAATTGTTAATTATTAGTTTACTTTAGGTAATGGATATACATACGTACATAATGATTTTTTAAATTGTAACTGGGACATTTATTTCCAAAGATTTATTAACGGGTTATCGCCCCGCATTAAGATTACTTTCATAAACTTTAAGTATATAATATAATAAGTATACTTTAAGTATATAGTATATAATAAGTCGTAAACTTTAAAGTATTCAAATTGGTGTTTATATAGATCGGCGACCCAGGCCCGGGTCGGTACCGTCTTGTGGCGCGGTCTACCTCAGGTCCTCAGTTCGCTTCCTCCGCACCTCTGCTCTACCAGCCGCGCAGTTTCTGCGTCTTCGTGCAGACAGACAAGCGCGTCTACCAACCAGAGGACACCATTAACTTTAGAGTTATCGCATTAGATAAGTAAGTATAACGCCATACAAACTTAACGGTAGAAACATGGCTTTATTAAGAAACATCAATGAGTCGAATCGATTCTTAAATTGTAACAGAAATCCGTTCATACCCATCTCTCTGTATCTTATTTAATACTTTCGATTTCGATATCGGTACAGGTAAAAATAAAGAAAGTTTGCACGTAAGATTACGTACCGCGCTAGGGTCGATGAACCCAGCGGCCGCAAGCCATGAGATCGTCTCACAATGCGAGCAGCGGGCACGGTGTAACATTTCCCCAATACTAAGGAAATCTCTACGACTTCACAACTAGAACACCTTGAGAAACATTCGCCAACTGTATGCATATGTTTTCTTATTCTTCGTTTAATATGTTCAAAATTACATTGAATCGTGGACACGTAACCAAATTGATGCAAGTTATAAAACCAGTTTAACATTCAATATTATTAATCTAGTCCACTTTAAACATTAAGAATAGATTTGAATCGATCATTAGGTCATGTTATGTAAATAAAATCTCTATTTGAAACCATAAACATACTTGTACAAGATAGTTAATAATTGAAATTAAATATATCAAACGTTTAACTATTGTGTCCATTGTAAGATGATAATCGCAATAAACATTAACTGATGGATGTTTTAGTAAATATCGATACAGTTAATGAACCGAATATTTCACACAGCCTCAATGTAGGAGTGAAGGCCGTAGTGTAGCATTACATTGGCTCGACCATTCGTGCGTAAATTGTTGAAACCTTTACTTTACTTTGTTTAAAATTGCCGCATGAATGTGCGATGCAGTCATATGTCCTTAGCAAGTTGATAATATGTGATCGAAGGTTTTGCCCGATTGGTAATATTGGAATGCGGTAGAAATGTATAGCTTTACTCGTATATATTTGGTTTTTTGTTTGTATCATTAACAGAAAATATTTACTTCTAATTAAATTTTAAGTCATATAACATAATGTTATGAAAACACTCCGACTAAGCACAGAAGTCTTCTTTCACGGGGTTCCAGTTAGTTACTGTACAGTTGTACTGGATCTTGTAACGTACACTTTATTGAAGATTGTATCGTATGTATTCAGGTATTTGTTGCCGCTGAACACATCTGTGGACGTAAGCATCCTAGATGCGGGCGGCGCGGCGATCCGCGAGTGGGCAGCCGCGCCGCTCGACCGAGGACTGTTCGCCGACGCCCTCCCGCTCGCCGACCAGCCCGCGCTGGGCGAGTGGACTATCCAGGTAACATAACCCTTATCATCACCAGGCATAGACTCTCACAATCTAGAACAAATGTTCAGCAATCTCTGATCACAAACTGAAGATGATCACAATCATCATAATAGTGTAGTACAAAACGATTGTTTTTTTTTCTTGGACTGTTTTTTAGTAAAGTTCAGGTCAATCAAACAAAATAATTGGAGAATGAAGTTAAAAAGTTGTGGTCTTTTGTTTTACATGATTTCTGAACAAATGTCGAGATTATTTTCTAAGTTATACATGTAATATCACGGGTCGTCAGGTGGAGGTGCGTGGTCAGAAGTATTCGCAGCGCATCCTGGTGGCAGACTACGTACTGCCGAAGTTCCAGATGGAAATGAAAATGCCCAAGGAGATACTCTTCAGTTATGGAAGTTTCAACATCAATGTTACTGCTAAGTATGTTATAGTATTACTCTCGGTATGAAACATAAATGAGTTGTATAGAAATGGTGATTCTATTTCGATTTTTCAATTCACCTTTAACGCCTTGTACTATTAGTGATAAAAATACAATACTATTGAAAATAAATAAGACAAGAAAAACAATTTGCGTACCTGCGATCAAATTATTTTTCAATCAACAATATTTTCTTATAGGATTGCTTTATTATATTCGTTTTTCATTCTCTCTTGGCATCCAATTTGTTTAGCATCTATAAAGGTTTAGCGGTCTGGCCGTTGGCCGCTTCAATGAGATTCCTTTAAAGAAAACATAACGTGGGGGTTTTTCTTACGTCAAATTCAAATGATAAATATTTCACGGCGGTATTTTTTTTTCATTTCACGGCGCCATGGCATTATAAAATTACATAACGTAGAGTTTTTTCGTTAAATTAAATAAAATCAGAAAATATGCTAAGGTTTATTTGCAAAATATCGAAACATTTAAAAGATATATTTTTGGGTATTACTACACAAACAGACGGAACTAGATTCAGCAACTACGATTGCAAATATATACAAAAATAACTGTAATGATGTCATTTCGTGCCAAAACCTGTGTTTGCTAAACTCGTTTAGTTCTCATGCTATTGTATTCAACTTTGATATCTTTCAATTACAAAATCAACTAACATAAGCAAAAAAACCCTATCTTAACGTAATCGATGTTATTCTCGAATCAATGTGATTAGTATAGCAAAAAAATTGCACCCTATTTACCATTATTAAGTAAACAATTCACTACAATTTTGTACAAAGTGATATATTATCCCGTTAATCCAAGAATGACAAAAGTAAGGTACATACATAGCTTTGTCACGAGGTAACGGTAAGCGCCGTCCGTGATTAGAATCAGGGTTTGTAGGCTGTGATTAGGGCCAGCGATACCGTCCTTTAAGTTTAATAGCTAAACAATTACTTGAATACTCACCAATATAATAATAACTAAGAAGTTTACTATCCCTTCAGGCATTTCAATGGGTTGCCAGTACAAGGAGAGCTGACCATATCCGCTTACGCAGTTTTCTTCTCCGGAGTACTCCAGCCGGTGTTTTCAACGCCCGCAAGGAAAGTGGTAGACTTCAACGGACAAGCCGACGTCACTTACGACCTCAAAACTGACCTCGACCTCGCAGAAGACGCTGCCAGGCCTTTGGTGGTGGAGGCTGTACTCGAAGAAAAAGATACTTTAATACGACAAAACATTTCATCGAGAATACTTCTTTTGCGAACGCCATATCGTCTGAAAGTAACCGCGCCAGATTACTTTAAACCGCAACTGCCGTACATCGTTCAGGTAAATATTATTTAGCATAGTTTTAAGGTTATAAGAGGTACAGATAAGTTGTTAGAACAAACATTATTATTTGAATTTTCCTTGAAACTTATTTTCAACGACCTCATATTGATGACTTTTCAAATTGCAAGTATGAATAAATCGTGTGGTAGATGGAGGTGGTGAACTCGAGTGGGCTGGTGATCGACACGGACGGCGAGGTGATGGTGGAGCAGCTGTGGGACGACGGCGCGCGCGCCAACCGCACCACCCTGCCCTGCCGCAGGGGACTGGCCACATACGAGACGGTGCCCGATGCGGCACACAACAACTCCACCATGAATTTAGTGGTAACAAGCATTATTTTATTACTAATGTTTGTTACTAATTTGGACTAACTAAATATTAAATTTAACAAGTACCTAACGTCTTACTGATATTTCATGTTCCTAATGTATCCCGGAGTTAGTACAAGGCGTGTCCTCGTAGTTATTCACTTCTTCTTTTCTTTATTTGTCGTAGATAAAATACAAGGAGGTGACGGAGCGCGTGGTGAACGTGGTGAGCGAGTCCGCGGGCGGCGCCGCGCTGAGCGTGCAGCTGCTGAGCGCGGCGGGCGGCGAGCTGCGCGCGCGCATCGCCGCCACCGAGCCCCTGCAGCTGCTGCACTACGCGCTCGTCGCCCGCGGGGACATCGCGCTGGCTGAGACACTCGAGGTACTCAATTGGTACAAACTATGTATAGAAGTATACCACGATTTTTTGTCTCACCCACATAAAAAAATAATTGTGACAACGTTTTACTTGCTGTTTTTGGATTAACAATGTTAAAGGATTTGAAGGCTATTGTGATCTATTTGAAGTGAATGTTTAAATGATGTTCGTTTTTGTCAGCTGAGCGCGGGGCGGCGCAGCGTGGAGGTGGTGGTGCCGCTGGG